GTGCCTGACTCCAAGCCATGCGCTTCTCACCCGCGCTGCATCGCCAGCCACTAGGAAGGCCCGTTTCTCCATTCCGGCACTCAGCAAGGGTTTCTTGCGCACTACAGCTGTGCAGACCAGCCCTGGCCGGGGTGGCTCAGTTGGTTGGAGTGTCGTCCTATAAAGTAAAAGGTCGCTAAAAGCTTGCTGGTTCGATCCCGGTCAGGACACATGCCTGGGCTGCCAGTTCAGTCCCTGGTCAGGGTGCTTACGAGAGGCAAGAGATTGAGGTTTCTCTCCCTCTCTCTTGACACATGGATGTTTCCCTCCCTCTCTCACGCTCCCTTCCTCTCTCTCTGAAACTCAATAAGCCTGTCCTCCGATGAGAATTAAAAAAAGAAGAAAAGGAAAGATGTGCAGGTGCCACCCTCGCCCGCGGGGTGCTCACAGGCTGGCGGGCAGCGGGAAACCAACACTTCAACAAAGAAATAAAAGGATGGAAAACTGCCACAAAGGAGCCCGCTGAGCAGAAAGGCGGGACGGCCAAGGGAGGCCCGGGTGGCCCGGGAACCACGACGCGCAGGCCCCGGGGCTGCTGCCAGTTTGTGGGGCCAAAATGCCCCTGGAGGGGTAGGCGGGGCTGGGATGGGGGCATTTTGTCCTCCAAAGCCACCCAGGGGGCGTTGCAGCGTCACATGAAGAGGCACAAGATGCCTGTCCTCCAAAGGCTGGGCAGCATCAAAGCCATTTGTTTTCTGGAGAAAAACAGTCCAGGGGCGCCAGCAAGGATCCTTCCAACAGACAGAGAGCCGTTTGTGACGGGGCGAGCGGCCAGCGGTGCCGCTCCTCCAGGACGAGGGGCGGCTGGGCTGTCGCAGCGGCGCAAGGAATGTCTTCCTGCTGGTGGCAGCCCCGGGGGTGGGCGTGCGATCTGCCCTGGACCCCGGGTCAGGGGCGGGGGGCCTCCCCGAACACCCGTCCCATCTTTGCAAACTGCAAGCGCATGGGCTGCCATCGTTTCTTGACTCTTTTACTTGAAGATGCAGAAGGAAGTGGCTGGAACTCGGAGCCCAGAAGACCCTTGTCTCTCCTGCTGAAGTGGTCAGAGAACAGGAACTGGATGCGTAGGGTCGTGACTTGATTTTTACTTTGGTTGCCAAGCAGCTCCGGGTCAAGTTTAGGTGTAGGAGTTACAGCCCTCTGGGTTTCTGGTGCCCTGATTCCTCCCTCCCCGTCTCAACTGTTTTGTAAAAAATAAAAAATAAAAGAGTTACAATAAAACTTTCACCAAACAGAGCACCCACCGTCATGTAGTTCCTTTTGCTCTTCAGTCACGTGAGTGCGGCTCTTACAGCAATTGCTGTGTGGGCCCAGACGTTCACATGCAATTCTGTTTTCCTTTTTTTTTTTTTTTTTTACATAATATTCGTTCATGAAGATCATATTTCTCCCTCACCCTCCTGCTCAGCCTTTTCAACAATGGCACCGACACCACGGGGTCACTGAGCACTGCTACAGTGAAGCCAACTGATGTGCTGTAAATAGACCATTGTTGGCCATGGCATTTTTTTCTAGATTTTCACTGTAAGAAACAAGCCTGCTATTACAAAAATAAATGAGCGCAGGTTATGAAAGGAGTTACCAAAAAAATAAAGAAAGGCGAACGGCTAAGAAGCACATGGAAAACGTTCAGCCTCCGTGATGATGAAAGACACACGTTGGAACAACAAGACGCCCCCTTCTCTTGCCCGTGGAAATGGCCCAGATCAAACGGAGATGTTGCTCAAAGCTGGAGAGGAGGCGAGAGCCGTGGCCCCGCTCGTGCCTCTCTCAGGCCTGCGCCTCGGTCCATTTCTGGGCAGCGGCTGCGGCCCGGCGGAAGGGGAGCCAGAGCACACAGCTGACGACGCTGCGTGATTCGCAGCCCCCGATGCCACCGACCTAAGCGTCCGACCAGAGGACCGCGGTTAATTGAATGTGTGCCCATCTCTCATACCGGTCACTCACTAGAGGTGTCATGTCTCTTTCTAAGGCAACAGAAAGTGCTCGGTGACGAACCGACCCTTCCAGGAAGTGTCGCTCCCGGATGGGCCTGGGCCTGGGAAGCCCACGGCCTGAATTCAAATCCCAGGGCGGCCCCTCGCGAGACTCTGACCCACGACATCACCCTTCTGAGCCCTGGCTTGTCATCTGCAGGGAGGGGTCCCGAGAGCCCCCTCGAGCTGTGTGAGTACGAAGGAAATCACCCCCGGGCATGCGCTGCACCCCCTCTGGCACCCCGCCTCTTGCCCGGCACCCCTCTTCTCCCGTGGCTTAAAAAAACCAACCGAAGACCCAAGCCCCAATGAGCCGCTGACTTGTCCCCGGCTCCGAGCCATGCGTCCGCCCCTGGTCTGGCCGCCTGCGGCGCCTCTCCACACGCACGCACACACGCACGCGCCGCGCTCTGTCCTGTCAGAGCAACCAGGTGAGCTTGCCCCGCGGCCGGGGTCTCCGGCGCCTCCTCGTCTTTGCCGAGCTGTGCCTCCCGCCCAGGACGCCCCTCCTGCCCCTCTGTTCCCCGTTCGGGGGCCAGTCCACGTCATCCCCCCTTCCCCTGGGAGGCGCTCAGCAAGCAGGCCCCCTTCATGCACCTCCTGGAGGCCTCTGCAAACCTCAAACTTACGAGGCATCCTGCGGGGAGGTGAGTTGTTTGCCTTTTTGTTTTTGATTTTTAAATCTAATGTTCATTCAGAAAAGGGCACATGTCATATATGAACAGCTAGATAAATTTTCACAACTGGAACCCTGACCGGGGTGGCTCAGTGGGTTGGGCGTCGTCTTGCAAAGTGAAAGGTCACCGGTTTGATCCCTGGTCAGGGCACGTGCTGGGCTGTGGGCCAGATCCCCAGCTGGGCGTGTGAGAGAGGTAACCGATCCACCTTTCTCTCCCTCTGTCTCTCCCAGTCTTCCCTTCTCTCTAAAAAGAAATAAATTAAATTTAAAAAAATGTTCACAAGTGGAGCCAACTGGTAACCCATACCCAGACATAAAACAAAGCCAAACCAAACCAGATCCTAACCAGGACCCGTCTCTGACCCACGCCAAGGGGTCAAAAATCAAAAACAAAAAGGCAAACAACTCACCTCCCCCCAGGATGCCTCGTAAGTTTGAGGTTTGCAGAGGCCTCCAGGAGGTGCATGAAGGGGGCCTGCTTGCTGAGCGCCTCCCAGGGGAAGGGGGGATGACGTGGACTGGCCCCCGAACGGGGAACAGAGGGGCAGGAGGGGCGTCCTGGGGTGCCACTCTCCTGACTTGGAAGCGGTCCTTGTCCCCTTCACAGATGGGAATCACACGGAAGCGTCCTTCACGTCTGGCTCTGTTGTTATATTGTGTCCACGAGGGCCGTTCTGTGGTGGCAGGACTTGCAGAGCTGTCGCTTTCAGGGCTGTGTAGTGCTCCAAAGTACGAGTCTTGAGCACGGGGACATCCCCGAGAGGAATCACCCAGGTTTGTGTCTTTCCATGATGCCGGGTGTGTTCGGGGAGGCCTCCCCAACAAGCCAGGAGAGTCACACGCAGGTTCCACGCAGAGAGGAGAGCGCATGCACGTGGTAGAAGCATGCAGAGCGGGTGTCTGGTGTGAGCTCTGGGTCACGGGCGGCATCGCAGGTGGAGAGGCGGGCCTGGGTCTCAGGCCCTGCGGCTGCAGTGGCGGCCGCACCCGGTGGAGTGGACGTCCGGCAGAGCTCTGGGTGTGACCCGGGGTCCAGCCAGGCTCTAGCCAGGCTCCAGCGCTGGGTGGTCGGAGCTCTGAGTCCTTATGGCCCACCAGGGTGGCGGCCCCACTCATGTCGGTGTCCAGATGGAGTCCTTATCCAAGCGGCCAGATTAGTGGTTTTGGGCATTCGGGGTCCCTTCCAAGGATGTTTCCGGTACGCCCCATTTCCTCAGTCTTAGCTGTCATGGCTGACGGTGACTCCGTATCGCATTGTCTAAGGTGTCCAAACTCTGTACAGTGCGACTACCCTGCTGTTTCCAAGTCCTGCCGATTGTGACGCTAGGCCCAGCCCCTCTGGATGCTCCTAGGAGCCGCGCTTGCTCTAGACACTCTGGGACATGCCTGTCTGTCTCCCGCACACATGTACGCACGTGGGCCTTTCTGCTGGGGTAGGGGATCCACGCGCCCGGCTAAATCGTTTTCCTATGGGTCTCACCCCATCCCTGCACATCCTCACTGCATTGGTTTCCTGTTTGTTTACTTGTTCTTAAAATAAAGCTCTTTGTGGCTCTACTGGCTGGTTGCCGCCGTGAGTTCCTGCACAAAGTGGCTCCTGCAGGCCCAGCTCAAAGGTTGCTTCCTCTCCCGCAAGTCCAGTCCCTTTTTCTCACGGGCTTTGGGGCTCTGATGTCCTGGGTTCATCGGGTCCCACCTGAGTGAGGATGTTGCCTGAGCCCGTGCGCCTCTCCTGAAGGGCAGGCCCATCCAGGGACACTCCTCACTCGGGGACACCCCCACCCTCTCCTCCTGACTCCAGGACCTAACCTTTGAGACTGAGCAGGCCCCTCGGGCCAGCTGGTGGGGAGGGGATCGGGTTTCCCTGGCGCGGAGTAGGGGGTTGGGGAATGGGGGGCAGAGGTGTGACTCCCGACAGAATGGGTCCCCTTCTCTGGCTCCACCAGGGAAGTTCGGGGTCCTCGCTCCTACGCCCTGCTCTGGGTCTGTACGCCCCTCCGGGCGGGTTGCCGGGCGGGTTGCCGGGAGGAGGGCTCCAGAGGTCCAAAGGCCTGGCCCGGGCGCGCGGGGGGGGCCAAGCGCCCGCGGCCCCGCCTCCGCCGCGCCCTCCCCACGCCCTCCTCCGGGGCGGGATAATTGAACGGCGCCGCTGGGCCCCGCGTCGGCTGCCGAGGCTTGGCCGGAGCGTGGATCCCGCGCTGTGCCCGCACCACGCACCAACCGAAGAGTCGCGCCCCAGCCAAGGAGCCGCGCGCCGTGCCCCGTGCCTTTGTCCGCTCCGCCGCCCGCCGCCCTCCGCCCGCGCCATGAAGCGCGCCGCGCCCTCGCCCCCGGCCCCGCTGCCGCTGCCGCTCCTGCTGCTCGCCGGCCTCTCGCTGCTGGCGGCCCCAGGTAGGGGGGCGGCGGGGAGGGGCGGGAGGGACAGAAGGAGCGTCCTGGGTCCCCGGGCCCCACTTTAGTGTCCCCCGATCACGTAGCCCCGCGCTCCCGGGAAGTTCTGGAGCTGCGGGCCACTCGGAGCCAGAGTCGGAGTGGGGCGACGTTCCCTCCCCCACGCCCCACACCCCACTCCTTGCTCCGGTTCTAATTACCTCGCTGGTTTGCCGGGCTTGTTTTAAAGACGGACCCCCCTCGAACACCTCCCCCTGAAGGCCAGCTCATCTCAGTGAGCCCACCCTAGTGCCCACCCACCCCCGGGGTCGGGGAGAAGAAGGGCCAGCCCAGTGCCAGGCTCTCCGGGCTAGGGCGCCCATGGCATATCTTGGCGCACTGCGCCCTTCTCCACCCTAGGTAAGGGCTGTTGTACCCAGTTTGCTGGTGGGAAAACTGAGACCAGGAGGTGGGGAACAGTAATTTGTCCAGCAGACAAAACCTGTCCTGGGGCAGGGGCGGACCTGAAGAAGTCAGAAAGGAAGGGAGCCGTCTGAGGTGCCAGAGTGACAGCTGAGTGTAGGGGGTCCCCTGCCTGCCCTCCCAGGACACAGCCCGCCAGGCAGAGGTTCTGCCAGGCTCCAAACTCAGCTGGGGCTGGGGACAGGCCACTTCCAAACTCACCCCCAGGCAAAGGAGACCACCAAGCCCTACTGACACTGTGGGGTGGGGAGCACCCAGATTCACCCTTCTTTCTTCTCCTTTCGTGCCCACGGGGGTGACCGCAGGGCCCTTCTGCTCAGAGCCGTGACCTCTGACGTCCCTGCCGACGCCACGTGCTTACTAGTCGTTGCCAGGCCTGCCCTGCTGGAGGCTTTGTTCCTCCTTGAGCCAGGCCCAGAAGTTGTCCCCCACCACCCAAGGAATTCCAGGCTCTTTGTCTCTGGCTTAGCTGAGCCTTTTTTAACTGTCTGGTGACCACCCTCCACCTTGGTCAAAGGGTCATTTGATCATCCTTGGAATCCCAGGTTCTTTATCTTGGAGTTAGTTGAGTTTTAACTCTCAGGTGACCACCGTCGCCCTCGGTCATAAGGTCGCTTGCCCCGGCTGTGCTGGCCTGGGGATTCAAGGTGGGGCGGGGGCAGGGGCTCCGCAGAAGTTTCCGGGCTCAGTCGCTGCAGCAGATTTTGTGGGGCTCTGGCTGTTCTGAGCACCAGCTTCACCCTGAGCACGTTCTGGGTGGGGGAACGTCTGGTGGGGGAGGTAGCACGGGCGGTGCAGGGCTCACCCTCCAGGGCTGAGCCCCCAGGGCTGCTCGGGGTTCTTCCTGGGGGAGCCGGTGCTGGGGCAGGAGCTGGTGGGGGTGGGAGGGCAGGGCATTCAGGGGACCGCGGGCTGGCGCGAAAGCCCACAGAGCGGCCCGGATTGGGGGCCGCGCAAGACTCCCTGTGGGAAATGGGAGGGGCCCCCGGGGCCCGCTGTCCTTTACAGACGAGGCCGCTGGGGCCCAGAGAGAAGGCAGGGCGGCCTCTCCCGAGCCAGGGCCCCAGGCCTCCATCACTGTTCCTTTCTGCTGCTGTGCGGGAACGCTCCCCGGCAGCCTGGCGTGTCCAGCTCGGAGAGGACACCTGTCCTGTGAGGCCAGAGCGGCCCAGAGCCCCTGGCTGCGGGCTGACCACCGTCTTCTTCATAGAGAAGGACCCAACTTGAAAATGTATAAAAGAAACCTCTGAATTGTCCGCTCAGATGGGAACACCTGGATTATTCTGTGGCCTTTGTTTCTTTTGGATTGGTCCCTCTTTTGAGTTGTACAAGGTTTGTGTGGCTTGGGGACAGGGAGTTCAAGGACTGCCTGGTGCCTGGTTCCTTTCTGGGGCTACAGGCTCAGAAGCTGGAAGGTCCCCTGAAGCCCTGGAAGGGCAGGTGGCCCCGCCCCCGCCCTCCAGAGAGCAGTTTAAAAGCAATCGAGGAAAGAGCCATCAAGTGGCGGGCCCTTTAGCTAATCTGCTGGAACTCATTTGGTGACCCGGCCACAGAGATGTCATGCCCAAGGTCAGCGCTGAGCCACCCGCGGGTCAGTCCTGTTGGGATTTACAGAGCGCCCCGGGGGAGAGGCGGAGGGGGCTGTGTTTTCTCCAAGGCTTTCTTGGCCTTTGGCTCCAACTGATTACAGAGAAATTTGCTGGGAGGGAGAACAAAGGAGAGAGGGCTTGGCCTGCAAACATGTGGCCTGCTCGCTGCTGATCCTGGAAGCTTCCCAGGAGGTGGCGGGGGCCCAGCGGGCCGCGGGGGGCTGCTGGGACGCCAGATGCGTGAAGATGAGAGCTGGGGGCCTGGCGGGGCAGCGGCTCTGAGTCCTGCCCCCTCCTGGCACTGCCCGGGGCCCCCCAGCTCAGGGTGGCGCTTTGCCCCCGCTCCTGCGCTGCGGGTGGGGCATGCGGGGCACGGGTCCCTCGTCCTCAGGTCCCAGCGGGCGCCGCAGCATTTGCGGGGCTGAGAGCAAGTCCCCTGTTTTCTCTCTGCTGACACAGAGATAAGGAAACTGGATTCCTTGGTTGTCTGAGGGTAGAGGAGGAGAGCAGAGGGCCGTGCCGCCGCCGAGGCCTCGTTATTACTCTCTTGTTTGTCTTGTCCCCATCCCTGGGAGGGGACAGCGTCCTTTTCCCCAAAATGGCTCTGAAAGTTCTAAGACTGGATTTCTCCAGCGAGGAAAACAGGCCCACCAGGGCCACTGAACTGACAGCTGCCAGGTGTCAAAGCCACGTTGGTCAAGGTTGGGCAGAGCGGCTTCAGCGCGCCGCTTAGGCACCTGGTCACTAGGACCTGCTGAGGACCAGCCTGGGCTGGACGCCATTCAAGGTCTTGGGAGACGGCAGCGGGGAAGACAGGCTAGCCCCTTTAGCCTGTGGGGCTCGTCCCCTGGGAGATCCAGAAAAAGTGAGCAATGACAAACCAGTTCCAACTGGCCAAGGATCAGGGAAGACTTCCTGGAGGCAGCAGCATGCCAACTGGGGTGCGAGGAGCAGGAGGAGTTGGCTGGGTTTGCGGGTGGAGTTGGGAGGAGGGTGTTCCGCGCAGAGGGAATGGCATGGGCAGAGGCCCAGAGGCAAGAGAGAGCCCAGGGCTTCCGGGAAGCTTCCGGGAGCTCTGCCCCGTCCCGGAGCGTGGGGGTGGCTCTGGCCTCCCTACTTCCCAGGTGGGGCCTGGGAGAAACGGGCGCTGTGTGGATAAAGTGTCAGGAAAGCAGCTCTAACAGGGCGCGCAATGGTTTTGCCAGTATGTTTCACACAATGAAAGATTTTCCTTTGGCAAAATAGTGAATTGTAACGAGTTCATTAAGAAATGCTCATGGAGGCTCTGTATGGCTCCTTGTAACGGTCTCATAACCAAACCAGGTTGGGGGGATGGCGGGCATCCATTATGTTGATTTTCTTGGGATCAGAGGCCCTGGAGGGGGTTCAGGAAAGGGAGGGTGTGGCCTGGAGGCTGGGCCATCGGTCCCGAGTCACCTGGCCGCGGCAGGCACGGTGACCAGGCTGGGCTCTCCTGCCAGCGCCCTTTCCCCTGGCCTGCCTCCTCGCACCCCAGCGGGGCCTCGCAGGAGGCGGGGTCGGCAGGGAGCTGGGGGTGCCCGTCGCCTCCGCCGCCTGCATGTCACCGGGAGGGCCCTGCTCCCGAAGGGGGCTGGGGAGGCGGGCCCCAACTCTCAAGGTGACCCCCGGAGCTCCCCCGACTCCCACACCCTCTCTGTTTCTGTTTCCTTGACCGTGGAATGAAACCCTGCTCTGCTCTAGGAGGTGGTTATAACTGAAATGTCTCAGACTTGGTTGCTCATTTAATCCTCTCACCAATGCTACGAGGTGGGAACTGTGGTGATTTCCACCTTGCAGGCCTGTAGACCAAGGCCCAGAGCAGGTAGGTAGCTGCCCGGGACAACAAGGGCAGGAAATAGGGGACCGGACACGGGACCCCATGTGTCTCACCCCTTGGCAGGACAGCACTTGATCCCACAGATGCGGGCTGTGCACACGAGGGGCTTCCTATGGAAGGAGAGGCATCTCCACACATGGGGGACGCCCCAGAAGCGGGAGTCACAGCTCAGGCCTTTACGGGGCTCGGCAGGAGGTCACCCCCAAGGGGACGGCACCCGTCACGGTTGAGCTCAGTGGCCGAGCCGCCCTGGGCTGCTTGCTGGGATGTCCAGCCCAGGGTCTGGCTGGGCCCTGGCTCCCTCTCGGGTGTGGCCTGAGCCAGGCCCTCCCTGTTGCCTTCTGGGTGGGGCACAGGAGGCCCCGCCCCCACCCATGGAGGTGGGGACAGCTGGCTCTGGCTGCAGGAAGGTGCTGGGGGAGGCCCGGGCTGCCCGGGCGGCAGAGGGAGCGGCCCCTTCCCTGGCGTCTCTATAGCGAAAGCGCCCTTGGCCGCCCTGGGCCCTGGACACAGCAGGGCAGGCCAGTGTCTGCAGACATTGGCCCTGGAGCTCATCATGTTGTGTTCCTGCTCGATTCGCTGGGGCACTGTCCCCAGCCGGGCCAGGTGGCCCTGCCAGAGGGTGGTGCTGACGTGGCCGCTGCGGGGGCTGGGACGCCTCCTGGGGAACTGGACGGGCCGGGCGCTGTTCCTCCTTCTGGGGGGCGGAGGGGCCCGGAGCCTACTTTACCCTCAGGGGAGGACGCATGATGTGCGCCATCCCTGGATGGCCAGCTCCAGGCCGCTCCGAGGGGACACCACCTAGACAGGGGCGGGCCCTCTGGGGATCCGGTCCCGGTTAGTGGCAAAGAACCAAAGAACAAGCCGGGGGCCCAGGTTTTCTGCCGGGTGCCCGAGGAGAATTGGGGAGGGAATGATCGACCTGTCGGGGATCCGGAAGGCGAAGATCAGCGTGTGCCGCGGGGGCGGGGAGTCAGTGCCTGAGCAGGGGGTCGGGGTGGGGGGGCCCACGCCGTTGGGCAGGGCCTTGAAAAGCAGGGTGCAGAGTGGGCTTTATCCTAAACACACCGGGAAGCCACTGCAGGCTCTTA